TTCTATCCTTATTTTTATTGTTATTATGATTCGATTGATATTAGATTTTATTTTGTTTATTAATATATTTTATTATTCTTGTTATTTTTTTATTTTATTTTTAAATTTTATTATTCTATTATTATTTATACAATATACCTGCGTAACAACGTGTTCGGGCTCCRTGTCGGAACCCAAACGTTCGGTATCGAGCCCAAATGTGACCCAAAATCGACCAAGCCCGAACGTTTTAAGTTTTTTATTTTTTTAAATATATATAGGGTTTGGTTTACCTTTGCAAGCRTTGCTCATCACTCGTAAACATATACACACATAAACACGCATACACACTAGAGACACGCACACACACTCCACATACACCCCCTACACACCGTGTACACCACACATACATGAGGACTCTTTCCACAACCCCTGATTTGCACTTGACCGAGTGTTCGAACATATTCAGTTGCTCGGTGGGGCACCGAACATGTTATGTGTGCTACACAACAATATACTTGTTGGGTGCGGGCAGACGGGTGGGTGCGCGAGGTGGGTGGGAGGGTGCGTGAGTAGGAGGGTTCAGGCAGGTGAGTGTGTGAGGGTGCGGCCAGGAGGGTGCACGACGAACCCCTTTTTTTCCCCGAAACGAGAAAGAAAACAAAATGAGGCCCTCACCACGACAACAACAGTAGAAACTGAAAACGAAAAAAAAAAAAAATGAGATGACAGGCCGCGCTAGCCAGCGCCATAGTAACAACGACCGAAATCGGAAAAAAAAAAAAAAAAAAAGCGAAACGACAGGCCGCGCCCGCCCGTGCCACGATGACGACGGCGAAAAACAAAAACGAAAATAAATAAATGAAAAGGAAACGACGGGCCAAGCCACGACGACAACGACCAAAAAGAAAATTATTGAAAGCAGAACGATAAGTTACCCACACCACGGAAATGAAAAACAAAAATTAAAAGCAAAACGCTAGACTGATACACCATGAAAAGGAAAAAGAATAAAATTTAAAAACAAACCCCTTATCGACTACTTGTTGTTGCATGTGTATCATGTGATGATTGAAGTTTTGGATTTTTCATCCTTCCGTAACATATACCTGCTGAAGCCCATGTGAACCAGCCTGGAGCAATTGTACCGGGAGTGTATGAGCACGAAGTGCACCTGAGGTGTACGCTGATGCTATAAGGAATTGATTTGTTCGGGATCATCGAAGTACCAAGTGATGTCTCGAAGACGGAGATACGAGGACAACTTTAGGAGAAAAGGAGACGGTAGCAAGAGAAGTTACCAAGGATGTAACGATCAGGAGCGGCAACACCATGAAGTGCGAGAACCACAAGAAGATCGGAAACTCGAGGGACGAGGATGTGACGAGTATCGGTTTGAAGATAGAAGCCGGTATCTTCGCGCGGCTAGCCATGAAAGACCTGTTGAACGGCGTGGTGAATACAGAGGAGCAAGTGGAGAACGACGACCTGCACCTGTGTGTTTTGGATGCAAGGTCGTCGACCACTATCGGAGCGATTGTTGACGGTTTTAAACTGACGACGAAGCAAGACGACTTATGGAAGTGGATGGCTACCGTTGCCTACCTGAATTTGAAAGACGAGGACAATCTGTATCACCGCAACAACATCGACAAGTGATCACCAAGTGGTCACCATCCGAAGAACCAAGAACAAGTAGCCGACTTGACAACCTTGGCAAGACGGTGGCAGCCATGAAGGATTTTGTTGATTTGAAACTGGCACGGCGGAAAGCCAAGGAAGCGAGGAAACGGGAGAAGGAAGCTGCGAAGATGCGTGGGGAGGAAGAACGAGTAGCAGCTGAAGAAGCTCGCTTGGCTGCAGAAGCTAAGAACCAGAAGAAGTTGGAGAAGCAGAGACGTCGGGAGGCCGATCRCAAAGCTATTACGAAGGCGGTGGATGTACAAGTCGCGCTGCGCTTGAGAAACGTACCGGAAGTTTTGAAGAATGAAGTACAACGTGCGGCACGGGAGATTATTCCCGATCTAAAAGGCAAGGCGAAAGTTGTAGAGGAGAACCCCTCGACTTCGACCTCCGCGGAAATACTAAAYGCTGTGGAAGTTATCACCGGCGATATTGGGAACTTACACATCTCCGAGAAGCGCAAGAGGGGCGAAGACATGCCGGTAGGAGACAATCCTCCCGTCACAATCCCGGCTAAGCGCACAAGTAAGCGGACCGCGGTACGGCCCCTTCGCCTCATGGAGCGTCTACGTGCACACAACACACAAATGAAGACCTCGCAAGTACGTAAGACACACAAAGCCTTGACCAGCATGAAGGCGACGTTAAAGGATACGCGAGTCGAGAGATTGCAATTTTTGGATTTTGAGCGAAGGGAGTTGTTACATTTGCACCATGATGAGATCAAGGCCATGTGTGGACGCGAAGGTGTGGCCTGCAAGACGAAGTT